ACTCCTAACACACACACCTCACACCACTAGGCTAACCCTAGTGGTTCTGGTCTCTATTTTCTAGTCCACTAAAAGTCTTTCCTTTTAAAATAAAGATTAAAAAAGACATATTCCTCAAAGGATGTCGCATGCTATTTATGCCTTAAATAAAATAATTAATCAATAATCAAATTGGAAAAAGTATTTAAAACTACATAAGCTGAAATTAATAGATTAGATTATGTATGATCATTAACAAATGTATCCTTTTTTAATAATCTTAAATATTAACTTACCCTCATTTTTCTTTTTTTTCAAAAATGAATTTCGATGGTCAACTTAACCAATTCCTCTAAAAAAATCAAGTAAAAAATTGACACATTCTTCAAAGATCACCACATGTTATTGAATAAAGTAATTATTTACTAAGCAAATTGGAAAAATAATTAAAGCTACCTAGGTAAGGTGAGATATTGATTATAATAATTTTATTATTTGACATGACCGGTTAGACCATCCGGATCAAATATGATACGAAAAATTATTGAAAATTCATTTGATCATGCATTGAAAACCAAAAGATTCTTCAATTTACTGAATTTTCTTGTACTGCTAGTTCTCAAGAGAAATTATCTCCAACTAAAGTTGAGATTCAACTCCTGCATTTTTAAAATGCATATTGGGTGAAATTATGGTCCTATTCACCCATCATGTGGACCTTTAAAATATTATATGAATTTAATATATGCATCTACAAATGGCCACATGTGTGTTATTATCAACTCACAACTTGACATTTGTGAGATTGTTGTCTCAAATGATAATATTAAGAGAACAATTCTTTCATCATATAATAAACACAATTCGTCTTTATATAGCTTGTGAGTTTATGCATTAGGCTTTTAATAATTATTATATCACAATCAAAAGTCTATTTTTCGTGATCATATCTGAACAGGTAGTTAAAATTGAGATTTTAAGTAAAAGCGGAAGTGGGATAAAGAAAATCATAAAACGAAAATCGTAACATAAAAAAAATCGTAAAAACGTTAAAATGTTTGAAATATTGGTATTCATTTTGATGGAAAAAATCGTAAGAATGTAAAATTATAGTGATAAATCGAGATTGTAACTACTAACTACCATGTTTGAAATGGTTTAGCAGAATTATTTATTAAATATCTCCATTTAATAGCTAGACCATTGCTTATGAGAACAAATCTCTCTATTCTGTCGTGGGTATATGCTATTTTTACGAAGCATCAATTGTACGCATCAAGCTAACAAGTTATCATAAATTCTCTCAATTACAATTTGCTTATGATCATGAGACAAATATTTTCAATCTTATAATTTTCGAATATGCAATTGCTGTTTCAATTACTCCACCAGAACGCACAAAGATGAGTCCCCAATGAAAGTTGAAAATATATGTTGGAATAAATCTCCTATAATATCTTGAAATAGTGACTGGAGATTCTGTTAAATTATTATTTGCTTATTGTTATCAGTCTTTCCAACATGAAGGGGGATGATAAATAGTTGGAAAATAATAATTAAAATGCATTATTATTATTTTATATAGATCCCCACACAAATCAATTATGAGAAAAATATATTATACATCGACTGCCAGATGATTTGACTGACCAACAAGTCCAACATTCCAACTGTAAATGCACCTATGCAGATTGATGTCCCAGCAAAACAATCTATAAGTGCAAATGAAACTAAAACATGGAAAAATGATCGGTTCCAAGGATAAACATTCTTGAAAAAAGGAAAGGAGCAAATGATCAATATGGTCATAATGTGGAGACATTTGTTAATCCTAAAGACATAACTTTTATTAAACCTCGAGAGAGGTTCATGTACCTGAAAATAATAAAAATGAAGAGATCTCTATTAGTTATGTCATTACATGAAAAAGTTGGAATAATAAAGATAAAGTTGTCGGCAACATTTTCGCTTATAATGAAATAATGAAACAAGACAAGAATCTAGAAGCTGAATTTGTTGATGAATGTAAATGGTAAAATAAATTGGCCAAAATGTAAAGACGCAATTCAAATTTAAAGTTTTTGGACCTATAATCCAAACATATGAAGGTGTAAAGTCAGTAGGGTACTAATGTACAAAAATGTAATGAGAAAAATGAAGTCGTAAGATATAAAATTTGACTTCTAGCAAAATGATTTTCACAAAATTTTGGCATTTATTATATGAAATATATTCTCTTGTGGTGGATGTAATCGCCTTCAAATGTCTTATTAGTCTGGCAATACATGAAAAATTGACATGCGTCTAATGGATGTTATTATAGCCTATTTATATGGCTTATTCGTTTGATAGTGAAATTTATATGAAAATCCTAGAAGGATTCAAAATGCATGAAGCATATAAAAATTTCCAAAAAATTGTTGTTGAATAAAGCTTAAAAATCATTAAATAGATTAAAAAAATAAAGGCATATGTGGTATAATCGCCTTAATAAAATAATTATCTATCAGTTGACTTATAATTTAAAGAGATTTTACATGGATAAAGCAAATCCATTGAGTACCCCAATGATTATGAGATCACTTGACATAAATAAGATATCCATTTCAATCCATTAAAATTTTGTCTTGGAGTGCCATATCTCAATTCAATCAAGCATAATATATAGCATGATAAAAAGATTAATTAGCTTCAATTGTTGTTATATGGCTCAATTAAGGGGGAGATATTATGAAGATGATATGTACTCATAATGCATTTTTATAATATGTTAACTACACTATATATTTAGAGGGATAATTATAAAAATTGCACTCTTTTTCCAAAGACCAAGTTTTTATCTCATTGGATTTTTCTTGAGAAGGTTTTTAATAAGGCAATCTTATTAGCGTATAATAAAGAAGAACATCCAAGGGGGAGTCATGAAAATATTAATAAAGCGAATGTTCAACTTTCTAATCCCACATCTTCTCCATTTTATTCTCACATTTTTTCTTTCTTGATTGTAAATATATTAGCAGGATCATACTCTTCTCTAACACGAAGATACTAAAATAATAATAATACAGGTTATTTATCTGAACCACACAAAGGCAACTCCCAAACAAGATTTCCATCACAAGTGAAATCACTACTATTTCATGGCGTTCAACAAATTTATTCAAGAGATAATTTGGCAGACATCGCTTACCTCACGTTTTGAGAAACTGATATATGAGACTATAATTTGTAGACTCAGAGACATAAAATGATGTCATAACCAGGAGTAATAAAATATGTGTTGCACTCTTTTTTCTTATACCAAAGTTTTCTCCCATTAGGATTTTCTTAGTATGATTTTTAATGAGGCAGCTTGCGATACATATTAATAGAGAAGTATATTCTTTTTCATTCATTAAGATTTTTTTCCCATCAAGTTTTTTCTAGTAAGATTTTAACAAGTTACATTATTTGAATAGATATCTAAGGGAGAATGTTATAAATAATATATTTGTTTGTATGTCCATAACCCCTAAAGATATTATTCCAAATAGTAACTCTTCAAAATTATTAATTCTTTTTCGTTATAACTTACAATGTATTGAGAACTTATAAATCAAGTCATGTATAAGAAACAAGATAATACAATGAAAATAATACAATGAAAATTATCCTATTTCTTCTTGTCCTAATTTTCTCTTTCTATTGTCTTTAGTATGTTCTCGTTGTAGGGGTGTTAACGGGCCGAATCGAGCTGAACTTTGGTATTAAAAGGCTAAGCCTGTGTTCAAATGTGTCAGCCAGCTTGTTTTCAGTTATGAATATAATTATTGGCATATGTCTGGCTTATTTACAAAAAATGAAAGCCTAGTTTAGCCTATTTAAAAAAAAAATAAGACAACAAAAATTTATCCAAACAGAATGTACAATCAACAACATTAGTAATTCCATAAATAGTCATAAATTCAATGTATATATCCAAACAACAAATATAGAACAAAATCATTCAAAAAGTCTGTTTAACTAATAAAATGAGGTGAAATAGATTGAGGAGAGAGAGAAGATTATTACAAGTATTATAAAAAATATAAAATAAAAATTAATATACTAAGTTAGTTTGAGAGGCTTTAAGACCAAACTTTTGAATTGAAGCCTGAGGCCTTTTTATTAAACGAACTTTTATATAAGTTCAAGTATGATCCCAACAATTAATTGTAGACATATAAGCTCATACCTTTACCAGCGAGCCAAAGTTCTTAATTGGTCTACCACCCTTATCTCGTTGTCCTTTAGTTTCATAACAATAACTTGTTTTATACAAATATTTGGAATAGGTTATTCTATCTATCATTTTTTTTGTTTACTTTGTTTACCACTTTAAAATACCGTTAGATCGGAATCTCAATAGAAGAGAGAAAGATGAAGATTAGTTAAGATTCTGACCTAACGATATTTTAAAGTGATGTGAAGGTAGACAGAAAAAAAATGGCAAGAGAATATCCTAGACCAAGATATTTTTAAAATATATTTTTCCCTTCACTCGTATATCTCCCCTTCACTTATAAAATGTGAAGCATTTGATAGCACATTTCAGTATCACACGTAACACCAACCAATTTCACTGAAATCCCTAGAACTGAACTACACCAAGCAATGGCTTCTTCTCTCATTCTCTCTTATTCTTCCATGACTCGCCCTCTGTCAGTTTCACTATCTCTCTGATTTTCCCTTTCTTTCATTCTATCCTCACTTTCAGTTTTCTTTGTTTTGCTTCTTTCGTTAATGTGATAGCACAATATTTGCATTTCTTGATCAACCATTTTCACCATTCGCTATTTTTTTTTGTTCCACAATTGAGCCTCACATTCAGATATTGCTTGCTGAAATGACAGTATGATGTTGAAAAGAAAAAAAAATGGGAGGAATTTTTTGAGTTTATAACTTCGCAACCCGGCTTGTTGGGTTTAAATTCAATCTCAACTTGGGAACATCAATTATTCATGTTTGATTCTCATTTGAAAAGATTATGTGCAAGATTCTTAGTTCAGTTTAACTGGACTAGTCAACTTCAACATGGGATAATTTGATGCTTGAAGCTAACTCAACTGCATATCACTTAAAGCAAATTAGCATTACTACAATTTTCATTTCTGATTGACGGCATTTTCTTAATTATTGAACATGTTTATCTTGTTTCTGGGCTTGCTGACGAGCGTTTTGTGAACAAAGCTCTACATTTTTTCAAGCAATTGATCATATAATTGGATTCAAGCATGTTATTATATTTTTATTGAGCTTTTCCTACCTCTGTCAAATTGTAGACCACCACTTTGTTCATGTAACATGCTCTGCCTCATTACAGTAAATATGTTTAGCTTTATGTCGTGCTAAGCTATATGTAAACTCTCCCTCCCCATTTCAACTTGCTGAGGATTTTCGCTGAATTAATAGCTGCACATTGTGTCCGTCTGTGATAATAACTTTTGATATTCCAGGATTTTTTGTTGTTGTTGTTGTGCTTATGTTTGGATGTCACAATTACTAGAAGTACGTTTGATCTGCTCTTCTGTTCAATGTAGGACATGCAAACATTTCAAATTGGTCAATGGACTGCACAGCATAAATTCATCTATCATAAATGGACATGTCGCGAATTTTCCATTTGTCCAACTGAACTCTAAATTCCTCTTAAGTCGCAAAGCTGTTAGTAGAATCAATGCTACATTGACATCTGGAGGAGGAGACCTATATGCTTATCCAAACAGGTCTGATGTTGTGAAAAATGAAGATCTAGTTGGTGTTGAATCTGTTGGAACTGAGGTACAACCTGATGCAATAGCAGTAATTCAAGCACTGGGAGCATACACAGAGCTAACAAGTAATGGTTTTTCTGATGAGAATGATGAATTTCATTTCGACAGTCCAACAGAAGGTTTTGCTTCCATACCAGAGGCCATTGAAGACATTCGGAATGGAAAGGTTGTTACTCTCTGTCTCTTTGGTTTTGCATCACCATAGACTTAGCTTTCTGTTACTAACTGATATTAGTGATTCAGATGGTAGTGGTTGTAGATGATGAGGACAGAGAAAATGAAGGAGACTTAATAATGGCAGCACAGTTGGCTACACCTGAGGCCATGGCTTTTATTGTGAAGCATGGAACTGGGATAGTTTGTGTAAGCATGAAAGAGGAAGATCTGGAGAGATTGGAACTTCCTTTGATGGTAAACAGTCGGGATAATGATGAGAAACTCCGTACAGCATTCACTGTGACAGTGGTATGTACAATTTGGTGCTTTCATCTTTATATATGGAGTTAGTTCTGTACCTCTCTGATCAAGGTCTTCCATTGTTACATAAGCTAAAAACACTACATTTCCTCATCCTATGAGATAATCAGCTTTAGTGAATAATTTTTTTAAGCTCATTTGGATAAGGCACTTAGTTTGTTACTAATTCGGAGCATTTACTTTGTTGCATTTAATCTATTATCTCCAAGTATTCAAGGTACATTTGATTATGATTTAGCAGAACTGCATCATGTCAACAAAGATGATTGAAATTTAATCATCTGTTATGTTGTGCTAGAAATTGTTTTTTGATGTAGTTCAAGAATTATTATTGTATTTTGCTATATTTCAACACTGTACATTGCATTTGTAGGATGCTAAACATGGTACTACCACAGGGGTTTCAGCTCATGATAGGGCAACAACAGTCTTGGCCCTTGCATCAAAAGATTCAAAACCAAGTGATTTCAACCGCCCAGGCCATATTTTCCCCCTAAAATACAGGGAAGGTGGTGTCTTGAAGAGAGCTGGACATACAGAAGCTTCAGTTGATATTGCCATACTTGCTGGTTTGGATCCTGTGGCAGTTCTGTGTGAGATTGTGGACGATGATGGTTCCATGGCTAGATTACCTAAGCTTCGCCAGTTTGCAGAACGTGAAAATTTGAAAATTGTATCCATTGCTGACTTAATAAGGTATGTGGTTGCATTTCATGAAAGATGTAATAAAATTATTGTATTCATGTTTATTGAATCTTTTATGTTTAGATGTCGCTTTCAGGTTGAGATATTACAATTTACATCCCCTGTGTTGTCTGATACCATACTTCACCTTTCTAATATCCTAACTAATTAATTAGAAATTGAACCAATTTGGATATTGTGGTACTTGCTTTTGACTTGAGGTTACTATCATTCCATTATATGTTTCTGCATTAGAGTCTTTAAACCAAAAAAATTTCCTATAGTTATAATTTTCTCAGTGGTTAAAAGGGCGAGTTTGGAGTAGTGGAAAAGCTACTCCTTTGTGACTGAAATGTCACGGGTTCGAATCCGGAAAACAGCCTCTTTGCATATATGCAAGGGTAAGCCTGCGTACAAGGATTGCCTTGACCCCATCCTCGCTAGTCAGTATTTTATGGGGTGTGTTTTTTGGTTTTTTATAATTTTCTTAGTGGTTATTTTTATTTTTTTAGTCTTTTATTTCTCTTGTGTCTTACCCAAGTCTCCTTTGCCTATGTTTTTGCTGCCTGGATACTTTTTGTTTCTTTTTTGGTTAGATAATTGGGAGATTAACGCTTATTTTTATGTCAGGTATAGAAGGAAGAGAGATAAACTAGTAGAACGTGCTGGTGCTTCCCTAATACCAACAATGTGGGGGCCATTCACAGCTAATTGTTATAGGTCACTTTTAGACGGGATTGAGCATATTGCAATGGTTAAGGTGAGCAATGTTTGTGTATATGTTGAACTATATATATGTATCAATGTGTGTGAACTTTCTTGATAGTAGGACTGAATTATTTTTTTAACTAAATAGATAAGAAAAAATGTGAATATGGGAAGGATATTATATGGTATAGCAATATGATTTAGCTCAATCAGTAGCTTCTTGTATGTTAATCATATGGTACTTCAATATAGCCTATTATTCTATCCAAACGTTTTTTTTTTCTTTCAAAGGGGAGATTGATATTGTCAAATTACTTTATGGCTATAAAAATTAAAGTACAAGATATACAGAGGGTGGAATTAGTTTTTAATTTTCTGAGTCTGATCCATGTTGCGGTTTTCCAAACTAGAGATAAGCTAAAGCTATAACCATAAAGGAATATGTCTTCCCTAAGAGTACAGAAACTATTGTTGGGATGGGATATCTTAAGATATTGAATTGAACTACTTCCAAACTATCAAGTCTACTAGTCAAAAAAACCTCAAATAGCTGCCTTGTTCTATGCTAGTGAGATAGCTTAAAATTCTGCAGAGTGGTCCTAATGTAGTAGTAGAATTTTGATCCACAAATGTCCTGGCTTCAACAAACAAATCTGACTTATAACTTAGAAGCCTGAGCAGGCAATGAATATTAATTGTTTTTTCAAAATGGAATAAAGAAAGGTAAAGAACACCTTCTCCTATCCATGATCCACAAATAGGATCCACCAATGGGTTAACCGTAAGCTGAGGCCACTGTAATGCCCCTACAAGAGATTGAATGAAGTCCTGGGCAGTCACAGGGATCCAGTCATACTAGCATTGTCACAGTGTTTTTTGTTTTCTGTGGGGATAAATTGATGTTTACCCATTTTTTATCATTTTTCCTTCAAGGTGTTTGTTGGTAAGTGTAAAAGCCTGCAGGATATGCAAAATTGGCAAGCTCTTCCAATTGTCTTGAAATATTCCATTTTAGATTTTTAGATTGCTTGATTCAGTAGTAAACTGTTGGCCATTTTTGTGGTTTTGACTTTTCTTTGTTTAACAGGGTGACATTGGAGATGGAATAGATGTTCTGGTGAGGGTACACTCAGAGTGTCTTACAGGAGACGTATTTGGTTCTGCCAGATGTGACTGTGGAAATCAGCTTGCTCTTGCAATGCAACAGATTGAGGCTGCTGGTAGAGGCATATTGGTATATCTTCGGGGACATGAAGGAAGGGGCATTGGATTGGGCCACAAGCTTCGTGCTTATAACCTACAGGATGCTGGACGGGATACCGTAGAAGCCAATGAGGAGTTGGGATTACCTGTTGACTCTAGGGAGTACGGAATTGGTGCACAGGTAATTGTAGTAGAAATACTTAAATGATTGGAATATTGAACATGTTATCCTCACTTAATTATTTTACGTTTTTTAATCCATGGTGATTTACAATGATTATGGAAGTTTTACTGCCTGCTATTGTCTGGTGTGCAACACAGAATTCGTGATGTTTTACTTTATTGCATTGAATCAAAAAGTTAAAATTTGAAATTATACTTGCAGATATTGAGGGACTTGGGTGTTCGTTCTATGAAGCTGATGACAAACAATCCAGCAAAATATGTTGGGCTCAAAGGTTATGGCTTGACAATTTCGGGTAGGATCCCATTGTTATCACTTATCACAAAGGAGAACAAGAGATACTTGGAGACCAAACGTGTGAAAATGGGCCACATCTATGGCTTGGAATTTGACAGCAAATTGAACTATAGTGACAGGGGTAATGGTAAAGCCAGTAGTGTTGGTGATTCTAATGCTGCTCCTGGCTTATAAATCTGCTTTTTTTTTTTTTTTTCTAAACTTTATGTTGCACACTGCAGAAGAGGAAGGGCAGTGTAGATTTCCATACTGCAAATTGATATTAGAAGAAAAAGGATCATGATTCTACTTGTGATTTAATTTTTCTAATTCATTTGCCTGATTTTTCTTCTGGCAGCCTTTATAAATTTGGTTTCCTCAGACATTCTTCACTATGAAACTTTATCTAGTGCCATGTAATGTTATATTAGATGAGGGTATTGCCTAGACAAAATTAAGGTTGACTTTTCTTGCTTTATTTTGTGGTTTTTGTAGAGGCCTAGTGGTTCTTTATACTTATATAAAGGTGCTTCTGTATAAGAATGGGTGCTCTTGTAGAGGTTCATTATGTAAAGGTACCTTTTTTTCAATGTGGTTTGTGGATTATAATTGCTGGCCAATTAATTACTCTGATTCACTGCATCGCGATAGTAATATTATTTTCTTAGTTGAGGATAAATGATGATTGTGAATTTGATATCATAAAGGAAATTTGAGCTTCATAAACTTTTTTTATGCAATATTGAAAATGTATTATATATTTTTTCTTGACTTTAATATGTTAAAATAAACATTATGGTTTTGTTTATATATTTTAGATAAGCAAATACGTAAAGTGGATTGAATAAACAAATGTTGAGAATCTGGTGTTTTAGCCCAATAAGACATAACAAATGTTGAATAAACAAATGTGCAGTCTTATATTACATAACCCCTTAATACTAATTAACAAACTAATTACCTAACTAATGTTAATTAATTCTATATAATTATATTGTTGGAATTATGAGTTTTGGTTATAAAGAAAAAAACGAGAGAAATAAGACTTATAATAAAATTCTATTAAATTGATTAAGAATGGTGCTGTACAATGATATATTCGAACACGTCTACTTAAGTTGGAAGTTACTTTAACTGATTACAAGTAAACACACTAGGAGAAAAAAAAAAAAGAACTTAGGGGATGTTTGGTATGATGGAAAAAAATATTTAGCCAGGAGAATGGGGTGGGGAAAAAAGTTGGCTGTGTTTGGTACGTGGAAAAATTAAAAATTGATTTGGAAACATTTTTAGCTGTCAAACACGTTTGCACTTGTTTTCTTTATTAAAGTTTCCGTCCAAAGGTATGGTAAGTATTCTTTCCCATGCGGTGGGAACAAAAACTGAAATTTACAAGACAAAAATACCCCATGCTTTATTCTTCCATTTTGTGTGCTCTCTGATGTGGCTACGACTGAGTACTGCATGTTGTATCCGTTCCCAACTCCTATCCTTTTTTTCTGTATGACTTGCGGCTTTGGCAAAGGAGATAGTTGTCAATAGTTGCATTTAATCAGAAAAGAACAACTGAGACATCTTTTGTTACGGTTCTATACCAACCTGGTGAAATTGAAATAATGTATCTAGCAGATGCTTTTGTTTTATGCTTTACATTATATGAAGGATATGTAACCATGACTTACAAGTCCATTGACTTTTGTAATTATGGTTTATTTGTATACTTCAATTATGCAGAATATGCAAGTTTCAACCAGTTTTAGTTTCAGTTTCTGAGATCAACGTTTTTCATACGGGTAGTGCCATATAATGCCATGTAATGACCTTTTTCATACTGTTAATTAGTAAAGGGGTTATGTAATATAAGACTGCACATTTATTTATTCAACATTTGTTATGTCTTATTGGGCAAAAATGTATACAAAGAAAGATACGTGTAAAAGAGAGACACACAATCCAGTTGTCAAAATAATAACGTTTTTATGACAAACACATTCAATTTTCAAATTGGGGGTTATTAGGTAATTTTGGTATTCTTTCCCATCAATATTTTACAATCATCCAAACATAACATCGATAAAATTCATCTAACTTTTCCGGTGAAATGTTGACCTACCAAACACTTTTTTTAACTTATCCGGTAAAAAAAACTTTCCACTTTTTTTCTAACAAATATTTGTTCCCAGCAAAAAAAAATTTCTCCTGTACCAAACGCACCCTTAGAAGGTGTTTGATAGCAAGATTCTTTTGGGGATGCATGGAAAAGTAAGAATGGGTATTCCAAAATACTATGTTTGGTAGCATTTTTTAAAAAAAAAATTCTGGGATAAGTGGATAACTAGGATTCAATTTCATGTGTAAAAATTTGAAACAAAAATACCACTTAGAAGATGGTATTGTGACTTCCCTAGGTAAATGAAAAAGGAGATTTGAATTTTGTGTCAAAAATAGCTTTGAGTAAATTTGTAATTTAACTCCATTTTCCCTACAATATTAAACTCTTACCAAAGATGGGGTTATATTTGTAATTTAACTTCATTTTCTCAACAATATTTTACTTTCAACCAAACACAGAATCAAGAAACTTAAATCAATTTTTTCGATAATATTTCGACCCACCAAACAACTTTTTTTTAACTTTTCTAGAAAATTCACATTCTCACCATTTTTCTAGTAATTGTATTTCCCTGATGAAAAATATTTTCTCCTCCCTTAGAGATCCCATAGAAGCATAATATGAGAGGCTTATTAATGGAGGCACGAAGCGAAGGAGGTGGCATTATGAGGACCTGAGGGGACCTAGCAATTGGCCAAATTGCATCTAGGAAGAGAAGAAGCCAACCCGTATAAAGAGAAGCTAGAATGTGGCCATTGGAGCCAATAGGCCAAAAAAAGAGTCTTGAACAAGTGTGATTAAAAAGTGAACGTTAACTACAAGAAATGTGCCTATAAAATAATGCACCGCGAAAGACACAACTCAATCAATAATTCAGCCTAAGAGAGAACATAACAAAACTCACAAGTAGAGATGGGAAGGGAAACATAGTAAGGAAAACAACAGAGCTAGATTTGAGTTTGGTAGTGGTGAATAGAAATTGTAACAAGTTTCATAAACTCGAGGCCTTAAAAGGGAAAAAAAAAAACCATTTCAAGGTAAAATTATGGGATTTTGGTATGAAGGGGGGTAAAAGAAAAAATTAAGACTCTCAATGATAGTTTATTAAATTAATTGATGCGGTGTGATATGATATATTCTAACAGTAAGTCATCAGCTTTCTTTTCTATATATATAAGCTTTTTTTTGTGAGAAAATATATAACTTTTTTTTTTTTTATGGTAAGCTGAAAATATATAACCTTTTAATTGATAAAAAGTTGCATATCTAATGAACACTGGTCAATAGACTTAGGGACCATATAAGCGAGGCGTGAAAAGTTAAGGCTGTAGATGTAATATCGGGAAGGAAATAAGGGTGCAGATTTCTTAGCCATGCATGAGATTTCCTCACCAGCCCCCACATGATTGTGTTGGAAGCTTCCCCCTTTGGAGATACATCAATTGTTGATGGCTAATTTAATGCTGTCATTTTTTGTATTTTATTTTATTTTATTTCCAAGCTGTAAAGGATGCAAATCTACTACTATTTATGGAATTTTTGTAGAAGAATTCCCCTGTTTGGTACCCTTAGTTATATTGTTACTGGTTATGCACAATTATAATCGAAAGATATCAAATCCTCGGTACCTAATGAACTTTGTTTTTTTTTTTTTTTTTTTTATGCATTGATCAATTTCATTTAGCATTAAAAATATCAAAAAAAAAAATGTTGAAGCTATAATATTTGAGTTACCAATTGAACTGTCTCCATAAATTATGACAGCATCATTTCATGACAGCAGTTTTCCCGATTTCATAATAATCTATCAGTACTCGCTTCATTCTGTGCTGTGAACCATAGCATTGTCGTTAAAGGAAATGTTGCTGTTCATATGGTTTCAGCAATTGGGACCAACATAGAATATACTAATATAAGCCTCCATATGTTTCACTTCCCTTTCAGCTGGCAAGGTATAACATAAGATATTATTAAGAATAACGCTAAATTCGCAACATTGAAGTTTAATTTTCTACCGGATTCTAAAGTTTAGTTTTAAATCGTTGAGTAAAAAATAAATCTGATTAGCAAAAATATCAATTAACCGATTTAATTTGCTTTAAGTAGTTCAATTTTGTTTAATCCTAAGGGATCAAGATGTCTAATTAGAGACTGGTGAATTAATATTAGATTTCTGTGCATAGTAATAGAGAGAGTAAGTATACATACTTATAAATTTTACCTTTAATTTATATAATTTATTTGTGGGTAATAAAATTTTAGACATCTTGTGAATTTTGGAAATCAAATAGTTGATTTGATACACTAATAACCAGCAAAATTGATATATTTTTGAAATTATTTTCTTATTTCTCTTATTTATTCATCATTTAAAATATGGCCTTTGAGTTGAGTTGGGCCGTAACAAATTTATTCTTCCTTTTTTTTTTTTGTATAAAATTTATTCTTCCTTTTGTTCAACGGTTAACAGAAGATACTAGAGACGCTTTATCAACGAGGTGGTCCCTCCCCGTTTGGTACGGGCAATTTGGTACCGACTCCGACTGTCTCGCCGAAATTATATCACAAAACTCACATTCAACCAAGATACTCTTTTCTTTCTTAAATAACTTAACTTATATCATTTTATTCTCACAAAAAAAAAAAACTCATATTTTTATCTTTTTTTATCCTCTCTTTTTATTTATTTCTTTTTTTCACTTAAAATAACAAGAATGGATCCTCTTATATGCTAATTAACATGATCATATCATGTGTGGCAATTATAACCATATATGAGTAAGTTAACGGTGATAAGAGATGAGAGAAAAAATATAAAAATAAGAAATTATACAATCATCACCGTTGATTTAATTATTAATAATTAAAATCCTAGTACATAATATGGTCATGTTAAATTATATATTAAAGGATCCATATCTTAAAATAACGTAACTTTACCATCTTTTAAATCATATTTTTTCTTACTTTAAAACGTTACATGTTTCTTTTATTTATTTCCGACCGTTACGACTTTCCATAACAAGCATCCATCCAACGGTCATGAATTCATCCATTACTTGAAACTTACGACTACCTGTACGGTCATGATTCAAAAAACAGCTGTACCAGCTTGGACTCGCACTTCACTATCCGCGTGTCGTGTGCTACCTTCGCCGCAACTCAATCGTCATTTTTTTTAGTACATTCATTTATTTTATTTTAATTTATAAAAAGATTATATTTATACTCTATTTTCACTTATAATTTTTTTACAACTAAACTTAAATTGTTGATTTTTTATTAATTTTGATTTAATTGTTATAATTTATTAATATTTAATAAATTATAAATACTAGATTCACAAAAACTTATAATTAAGATTTGATCATAAGGAATTGTAAAAAAAAAATTATAAATATAACTTCATTCTAACTTTTAATTCTTAATTCTCAATTTTTTTCTCTCTACTAATTCTTCTTCTTTTTTTCCTCCGATCAGACTCACGAAACAAATCTCCACCGTGCGATTCGTTTCTTATAATCATTTAACGCATCAACGGTTAATAACCATTCGCACAAAAATCCTCGTCTCCACGCGGTTACGCTTGTATAAATACCCTGCCAAGTCTGTGTTATTCTTCACCACCTTCACATTCTGAATTGTTGAATTTTCTCTCTCTGCTTCTTCACTCTCTAGAATCTCTCTATTTTCCCGCTTTCTCTTTCTACAATGGCTACTTCTACCGTCGTGTTGATGCTCGTGGCTGCATTGTTGGTGAGCTCCACCGTGGCTCAATCTCCGGCTTCTTCGCCGGCTTCGTCTCCGACGAAGTCGAGAGTGGCAACTTCGCCCAAGTCTTCATCATCGCCGTCACCGGCGGTTTCTCCTTCCTCTAATTCACCGGTGTCCTCTCCTCCTACTCCGGTGGAGAGCGGTCCTTCTCCTTCACCGGCCGCCGTCAACTCTCCTCCATCTCCTCCTCCGGCTTCCTCTGAGTCTCCAGCTGGTGCTCCTGCCGTCACTCCCTCGTCGATCTCCGCTCCGCCATCCGAAGCACCAGCACCGGCCACAAACGGTGCCGCTTTGAACAGATTCGCCGTCGCCGGATCTGCTGCCGTCGTTGTTTTCGCTGCGGCGTTGCTGATGTAGTGAGAGAGAGAGTTGCGTTTGAGTTTATGAATTATTATTATTTTTTCATTCTTTCTTTTAGTTTCTGTTATCACGAATTTACATGGATCGTGAACTCTTTGTACTTCATTTTTGGTTGCTCTTCTCTGCTGTGTGATGATTCATTTATTTGATTATTTTGTGTATTCTATTTATTATTTTTATGAATGATACGTCTTTATTCTTCTTAATTTCTGTCATTACTACTCGATTATGAAAATGTGAAGGATTATGAAAGTTCAGAAGAAGAATATTTGATGTGAGTGGGAATAAGTTTTAACATTGTACCCTCGATCCAAAAATAGGAGGGAGTATTGAATGGCAACGGTGAGTGCAAAATCAGCGAAAAATAAGAAGTTAACGGTGTGAATCAATGGGGGAGAGACCACACTTAATCAAATTATTTAGCAGACTGTGATACTAACATTAAAATGTTCACTGTGCAGCCTGACATGGCATATCTGGCTACTGTCTGCTTGACACGTGTCATTTTTGTTGACTGTGCAACCTGACATGACATATTTTGCTACACTGTGTAACGAATTATTTGCAAGCATAATTCACTGCAAAGTGTAGCGAATTACCGCGAGACATTCCGAGAGTGTAGCGAATGATGCCGCGTGACATTCTGAAAAAAGCGAATGATGCCGCGTGACATTTTGAAAAAAAATTCTATTAACGTGACAGTCTGATAAATAATTTAGTGAAGTGTGGCAAAATAGTCACTGTTCTACCAAAGGAGATTGGTTTGGTACATGCTTCTTAATAAAGGTCTTGGATAAATGATAAAAAAAAATTGTGAATATAAAGTCCCCCTAACAGAATAAATGATACCTATGATTTATAAAAAAAAAAAAAAAATTGGTGTGAATAACATGCAATGAATCTACATTGTATGCTTTTTTTTCCTTTTTAAAGTTGGTGGGAAATTAAATGAGACAAATTATACTTTGGACGGTTAGTTCTTGACTTTTCTTTCTTTCTTGGTGTAAATTTAACCTTACTTTCACTTTTTGTACGATGAAAATATATGCATTATTGAGGCTAGGTTACGTTACATAACCCAACCGAGCTAAGCTCACATGTCTAAAGCGAACTACGAAGTACGAGGCACGACATGTGGGACCATCGGAAAGAAGGACAATGTTTGTGACCTTACGTCCCCACCCACATGGGAGAACAAATAATGATTTGGGAGCACAAAAATAAAAAATGAGAAGAATTGAAAGGGAATTATATATAAAAAAAGGATTTAAATGAAATTATTTTTTTCATTTTGAGAAAAGAATCACGAATATATTTTTTTCCCACATGAAGAGATTTAACAATTCATTTTGATTAGATTAGACACAATCAGACACACAGGCACATCTATTGAATAAATTTGGATTAAGTGTAAAAAAATAATGGCATATAAAAATAGGGAAATACCCTTCAAAAATCAAACTTTTTTTTCCCATTGATGGTGGATCTCATTTGATTTTTCTTTATAGTATGAGAGAACTACTAAAATGAGAATAATATTTTTCATAAAAATAATGTGAAACGTATTTTTCTCCCAATTAAACCCCCAATTTTTTTTTTCTAAACTTACCTACTTTTAAAATTGGTAGTAGAGTAAAGGGAAGTTAGAATAAAACATATAACTTTTCCATAATAATAAAAAAAATGAACAAAACAAAAAGCTAATATTCTAGTAAGCTAAACCATCAAATTGAATTAGCTTGCCGGATATCAAAATCTTTTATGAACATAGTGAGGAATGTGATGAATCAAATGCACCTCAAATTGGGGGGGGGGGGGGGGGGGGGGGGGGGGGGGGGGGGGGGGGGGGGGGGGGGGAATTTGGATTAACCAAAGTTAGAGGAAATACAGCAGAAAATAATAATGGGAACAAGAGGAAGTTGTCCATTGAGTGTGGCTTTGACATTCTAGCTTATTAGATCTTTCCTAGGCGGCAATCTAGGTACTAATCAACAATCATTTTTGTTTGCTAACTTCAAGAAAACAAAACATGGTACCATCAATCCAATAGTTTCTTCTCAATCACTTTCTTATTTTATTGACCCTTAAAATCATTAAGCTATCCATTTTTTTTAAACAAATACTCTTTTTGGTCCTCAGCAAATTTCACGATACCCGCTTTAGTTTTTAACAAATAAAGAAGCCTATTGTGGTTCTTAAAAAATTCAAAATGAATCTATTTAGTTAAAATCGTGGTCCTCACAAATTCAAAAAAGACCCAATAATCCCTAAAATGACTAAAATGAATCTATATTAAATTTCTTAGGGACGCCTTTTTATTTGTTAGGCATTATAAAATTTGCCGAGGACCAAAAATGGTATCCATTCCATTTTTTTATTTATTGACCCTTGAAATCATTGCAACCATTACAATCAGCCAAACGTTAACGTCGACGCTCCCCTCCACCCAAACAACCCCGCACGTCTCTATGTCTCTCTCGCACATTTTTTTTCGTAGGCAGTTAAGATTAGTTTATAAACAAGAAAATTAACAATGGAAAAAAGATCGATTGAATGCTATTGTTTTTAAAGCGAGTAAGTATAATTAAATTTATTCTTTATTTAACATAAAACATGTTGTGATCTCAATTTATTAACTAATTTACAAATGAATATAATTTTGCTTATTTCAAAGATAAATTTCTTTCAAAAAAATATTTAGCTGATAACTTGTTAAGAAGATCAACCGTTAAATGGTTACCATTCTTATTAATACATTGAGACATCAAATTCAAGTCCTTCAAAAGTATAAGATTTATTCTTCAAAATATAAGTTAAAAAATTAATAAATTTTAATGAATTTGATCATGTTAACAATTACATAAAATATCGAACTTATTATATAATGTGGCACGCATTCTTGAATGACAATGTGAAAACTTTTTTGTTCCCGGAACAATGTTTACAAATTGAATTTTAAAGGAATATATTTTATATTTTAAGAATATTACAAATTATGTACACATATTAGGGGCGTTTAAGATTTGTACTGGTTTGAAAATCGGTCCAGTATGTTGTAGTACATTGGCATGGATTCAGAGTCTAGAAATTAGTTATGTTCAGAATATACTTCGAATTGTCCCGTCTCGATTCAATGTTACACAATATTTGTAAACTCATAATCCTCACAGTCAGTGATTGTTAGACAAGTGATTTTAATAGCTTAGAAGAGAAAAGAACCGAGTGTTTAATTTTTTTTAGAAAATAGTGTTTATTTTCAAATATTCTATTCTTTCAATCTTTGATTTAAGAGATATAAATATGACAGTTATGGCTTAAGTGCTGTAATTATATGGCAAAAAAAAAAAAAAATGCTTTATAGGTGATAAAATTGTTGTAAAAGTATAGTTAAAATACTAAAATGCAACCAAGTGTGGTGGCTGAGTTGGTAGCATGAGAACTGAGTGGTGGGAGATGACCTCGGTTCAAATCCCACCAACACCATCTGGGGAGGGGCATAAGTACCGTAATTCTTAGACTTGCACCCGAACTCTGGATTAGTCCCATAGGCGGCTCAAAATTTTACCGGAAATGTTGGATCAATTTGCCTGAGTCCATGTTTGGTTGCTTGTATAGGATTGTTGGAAATGTAGACCAAAATTACAATGATACCCTCAATTTTGAAATCAGCTTCTATTTGGCCTTCAACATCTATTTGCCCTCAAATATCTCTCTCTCTCTCTCAAATTGATTTTCAGATTATGTCTTTAAAATGAGGGAGTTTCTTCATTGGCTTTGAGAAGCATTTGACCACATACTTTTCCTTTTTTGCTACAAAATCACAAGGTAACAGACCACCTAAACTAGCTTGGACCACCTATAAACCTCCTACACGAGCTGAGAGTGAACGTCATTTTAGCTCAAAGTTTCTTCACAGATATGGATGGGTATTCGGTAGAATAAAGTTTCTATTCACATGGTTAATTTGGTCCACAAATTCACAGTTAATTTTTCACTTCCCGGGAAACGAACAATACCAACAATTATTTGGCATTTTTATGCTGCTTTCCGTACTTATTTTTACACAACAAAACGAAATCCAGCAATAAAAGATACCTAAGAAAATTTTCCATATTAGGCTACCAAACATGGCATTCTTATTTGCCCAAGGTTACTTTCCTAGGTATTTAAAAAGAATTTGGCTACCAAACGGGCCCTAATAGTAATGTGTTTACGACCTTATTGCACGGTATGAATAAAAAAAAAAAAAACATCAAAATTGAATGCAGAATGCTAGCACGAATAACCTCAAAATTGAATGCAGAATGCTGGCACGAATAACCTCACTCAAGTGCTTAGTCACGACTACTATCAACAATTTTCAATAACATATACACAATGATTAGACTTCACCTCCTCATGCATCTAGTCATACTGCCCCCAAAATAACGATTTAGTTCATGAAAACCCACGGCTAAGATGAAACAAAACCCATTCCCAAAATTTAAAATACATACAAAAATCCTATATCCCAAAATTTTCCAAGTTCCTTGTCAATATATAATGAAACAAAGGATTTGACATGGATATAGGTTGTACTCACCTGTCAGTTAGGACCTATCTCTTGACATTCAACCCACAACCTCAAATATAAGAATTAGTTCACACAAGATGACGATTTAGCTAGTCAGTGGCGGAGCCACATTGCCTTCAGCTAGTGCCAAGGCATTGTGTAATGTCCCACATCGGTTGGAGAGGGGAACGAAGCATGCATGCCTTAAATAAGGGTGTGGATACCTTTCCTTGTAGGAGGCCTTTTGGGGGTAACCCGAAACGTAAAACCGTGAGCTCGACGGTGCTTGTGCGCGGGGCAAAGCGGATAATATCCTGCTACAGGGTTTGGGGTTGTTACATTTGGTATCAGAGCCTGGCCCTGGATCGGTGTGTACAACGGGGACGCTGTATTCCCAGTGGGGGAGGATGTAATGTCCCACATCGATTGGAGAGGGGAACGAAGCATGCCTTAAATAAGGGTGTGGATACCTTTCCTTGTAGGAGGCCTTTTGGGGGTAACCCGAAATGTAAAACCGTGAGCT